CAAAAAGTCCCTCCCCAGCTTTCCTGCAGACCCCCTTTAGACACTGGAAGGCCACTGTGAGGTCTGCACGGAGCCTTCTCTTCTCCAGGCTGAACAACCCCAATTCCTTCAGCCTGTCTTCATAGGAGAGGTGCTCCAGCCCTCTGATCATCCTCATGGCCCTCCTCTGAGCTTGTTTACATCCATGTTCTTGTGCTGGGGGCACCAGAGCTGAATGTATTGCTCCAGGTGGGGTCTCATGAGAGCAAAGGAGAGGGGGGCAATCACCTCATGTTGAACTTCTCATCAACCAACACCAAGATGGCTATCAACATTTGCTCAGGACAACAGATCTATATGATAATTAATAAACAATAAGAAACGTGTGACTCTGAAACGTACATACTTTGCCCAGAAACAGGACTTTCTTCCTGCCTTCTTGTTGTGGTCGAATGACCCCTTCCTCCCAACACACCAACACCCACTGGTCAGATTAAAAACTGGCATAAACCACTGCCATTCCACTGAAGTTGAAAAGAATGATGTTTGAACCATGCTCATCTACAGTCCGGATCCTTTATTTTCTATGCAGGTCTTTCAGGAGGGGCTGCAGTCCTTCTGAGGAAAATGAGCCCGTAACAGGGGGGCCCGCATGGGGACCTACAGACTGTGAATACTTCTCCTCCTCCTCGGTCATGTTTACTCTTTACTTACAGCCATCACTTTTGTGTGGCTTGAGACTGCCCAGATGTTTCTGGGCTCAGTTGCTGGAATTTTGATTCCAGCCAACATTCTGGTGTGCTGCAGAATCAGGCAGCCTGCATCCAAAATGTGGTGAGAAGCACCACCGTGACCTGTGAGGCCGGAGGCCTCACTGTGCTGTTGGAGGGAAGTCTGGAAGGTACACTCTTGTTCTCTTGGAGAAAAAGGGCCCTCTCATCTTCCTTGTCTTCTCTGGGGACGATGGGCTTTTGAAGCAGTGTGCTTATTAGTCTATTAGGTCTTCTGGTCTTTTTCCACTTAGGAAGATGAAAGAGAGTGCATCTTTGGTAGCCCACAATGTGGCTGAGCAGTAGATTGAAAACTCATCTCTTGTGCATGCTTTGTGGAGCTGTGCTGCTGTTGTGGGGATCAGGAATGCATAAGTGCTTCTGCTGTGTGTGCTTGTCCAAAAAGCAATCCTGAGCAACTGGGCTCTGTTTCTTCTGTCTACATGGGGTAGAAGATCTCTCAGCACAGAAGGTATGCACAGCCATGGCTCAGGACCACTGGCTTTTGCATATGCCACTTGCAGTCTCTGCCACACCTTCTTCGGTGGACATTTTTGGAAGTACTGCATAAGGTCTTTATCAACACTCTCATTTTAGAGAAGTAAATGAAGGCATTGGGGTTTGCTCTGGGCAATGTGGGCCTGTTCTTCCTGGAGGCTGCAGGACTCCCTGATGCAGTCCACAAAGTCTCCTTTGACATTTAAAGCTTTAAATGGCTTGGGGTCTGGCTGCCATGGAGACATGATCTCAGCCATCTGACGCACAGTGTTTGAGCTCAGACAGGGACTCGAATCAATGGCTCCAGAAAGGAGTCAGCAGGGCATTATCAATGAAATGTTTTCAGCTGTAATGCCTCCTTGTTGGCCTACAGACCGTGCTTTCTTTGCAGCTACCTGAAAGGACTCTGGTTCTTGTAGGTTTTGTCTGGATAGGGTGTCACAGCATTTCTATTTTTGCAGTAGCCTGAACAGTGACTGGAGTTTCAGTAGGATGCATTATTTATACATGGGGACACCAATACAGATCAGATGGAGGGAGGTGTGAATGTTTTCAGAAGCTGCAGATGGGGATTTTCAAACTATTACGAACACTGGGGACTCTGTTTCTACTGAGGCTGCCGTGAGATGTGGGCACCAAAGTGTGTTCATTCTTTTGGGAAGGAGTCTCACTTGCAATCCTTAAATTACCCTTGAATCAAATTCTTCTCAGACTCTAGCAGCTGTATGGGCTGAAGACACTTCCTTTTGCACTGAATAATGAGTGAAACACTGCTGGTGGAGTGACCCAGCACCCAGCATGCAAAGAGTGTGGGTGGTGGCATGCTACGGGAACAGCCAACGTGCCATGCAGCTCCAAGTCAGCACTGCTGTCTTGCTGAAGTCTCCAGATTTCAGGACCATCTCTCAAGTCTAAAATTTCATCATGACATTTAAAATTTTTCACTCTGCTCAGAGACAAAGAGAGATCCTAACAGGTGAAACACGTTATGCTTCCAAGCATCTCCCAGCACTTCCCAGTGCTAAGTTATAGCTACATCAGCTTTTTTGTTGTTGAGACAGGTAAGATGGAAATCGTGTTTCTATTTATTTATTTATTTATTTGACATGTGTATGCTGAGATGACATAGCTGTCTGGACTCTCGAAGTCCACTCTTATCTTAGTGGTACTCATGAGAGGTGTGTATGGGTTTTGGAAGCATTTGGGAAAAGCTGTTTGATGTAGTCCTTCATAATGGTAGTCACAACAGAAATCTTAAAACAAAGGACTCTGTGTGTTTTACCAAGAGAAACCACAGTAACAGGTTTCAGTGTAAATGAGAGTTGTATTGCCTTCCATCAGAGATGACTTGAAAATAAAGTACTTTGATGGTAATACTGCAGATGTCTGCAGGAAACCCAGCACAGCCTTGAACACTGTAGTTAGATAGCTGTGCAAAAAAGTACATGAAGGGAAGAGCTAATGTGCAATACTTCTATTTAAGATAGAGGGAGGAAATAGAAATTGTGATAGCATGCTATTTCAAGTAATAATAGAAAGTACTTGATGTTTACATGGTGAATGGATCAATACTAATTCTGTAGTCAGGGCACATACAGTAGTTTGGATTATACAAGTGATAGATGCACTTGGTATAGCTGAAATTTCCACCCTGCAACATTTATTTCTCACTGCGTGTTAGATGGAATTTTCCACCCAACTATCTGAAAGGATTTGCATAAGAATGGTGATAGAGCAGTATTCTTTAATGATGTGCTTTTCTTTGTTAAACTTCAAAAATGTCTACGATGCATGATGAGGTTCGGATGAATTGCCAAGCTAATGCTTTTATATTTTCTTTAAAGAGCTTATCTTCACTGTGTTGTGGGAGTTACTTTATATTGTTGTCATAAAGGCAGTAGCAGTAAAGCCGACTTTGTAGCAACCCTGGTAGGTGCCCCCTCCTCCTCTACCTCAGGTCTTTGGTACTGCTGAAGGAGACAGATTGCAACACCCATTACCAAGCACCTGTTTGTCCTACTGTTAGCTCATTTGTACTGCTTCTGTGGTGCTGTACATGGAGTTACTCCTGGTTGCACTGTGTCATTTTACTTTTAAAACAATGACCCTCCTTGTATTCAACCTAGATCAGCCCAGGTTTCTGTACTGTTTGTGGAAACTGGGTCAAAACCAGACTCTTTCCAGAGTGACGTCTTAATTTAAAAAAAACCCTCAGGATTAAACCAGATGTCCAAATCTTCTGCCAGTGGAGACTTTTTACAAAATGATAGAGACTTATTTTTGTTCCTTAGCCCCTTCCAACAAAAGTATATTTTTTAAAAGCTGCTTGAAATGTGGTGAATTTTAGGAATGCAACCTGATGAGAAGCAGTATTTCCTTTCTTGGCTATTGGTCCAGTGAATCGTCTTCTAACCTGCACTGTAGTGATGCTATTCAGAAACCTTCAACAGCAGGAAAAATAAGGAAAAAAAAATGCTGCAAGGGCTTGTCATCAAATCCACTTGCATGTAGGGTGCAATGATTCCACTTTTATGAGAGGTATTAATTAGACAGAGTGGGGCTAATTCAACTCTGAGTCAAGACTTCTATTGGACAGTGTCAGTGTAACTGAGGCTCAAGATTTGGTTGTGTGTGTTTCTTCCTCATCATTATTATTATCATCTTTACTGATAATAGCATTAATGTAAAGAAATTTTAACTGATTTTTTTTTCTTCCCCTAATGACCTGAGCCTCTGTTCTGATATTGGACCTCACTGATACATTTGAAATTCATTTGCATTTTCACTTGTTTTTCTGAAAAGATAATAGGTGCCCTCCCTGTCTCCAGCCTGAAATGCTCCAGTTACAGCTGATAGCACTGTCCCTTGCCTTCCTGCCTAGCACTTCTGGAAAGAGCCCACCCCTGTTTCATCAGTACTCTCCCAGTATGCAGTGGCATGTGCTTTTAGGTGCCTCAAAGCCTTCTTTGCCCCATGATGAACCAGCTCTGACTGCACAGACCCCCCTTGCGGGGCAACTGCTGGCAAATGCTATGAAACATTTCATAGTGGTGGCACAAGATGCTTAGACTTGGCATCCATTGCATGGATTTGAGAAGGGAGGATGTCCCAGCTATGCAGCCTCTTGTTAACAGGACTGGAATAAAGCTGGCCTAATGGGGCTGCTAGACACTTAGGAGGATACTGGCACAGTTACTGTACTGTTGATGCTAAAGATGAATGTTAGAAGGAAGTCAAAGACACACTTTTTTATGCGTATGTGCTATTTTATGTGTTTTTTGTTTTGTTTTGTTTTAAACCAAAAGCATGCCAAGCTGGTTCCTGCAAAGCTCTCCTCTCCATCCTCTCCACATGCCAAAAATGCCTGTGTGGCTGGCTTCATTCATCACTGTCCGTGGCATGCATGCCCTCCCCACAGCCTTGCTCTGTATGTCAGGTGAGGTGTGCAGCACTGGGGTAGTTGTGTCGTGGAGCAGGGCTTCACAGGGGTCTGTGTCTCATCAGATGTCACAGATAGTAGCAGGCTGGAGGCCCTAGTTCTGCCTGCTAGAATGGCAGCATGCTTCAAACCTACCTAACTCCAAATGGCAGCAAGAGTGAGGGTACAAGACGGAGTTGTGTGCACGCTTCTTGCTGTGTTTTACACTCTACTCTTAGTTGCTATTCTGCTACAGCCCTGTCTGACACCTCAGCATGCCAGCTGCACTCATTTTGCACAACAACCGAATCCCCAATTAGTGCAATTGATGCTATTTTGCCATTTACACCTGTTTTCTGGTGAGGAACTTCTCCCAGTGCATGTCTGGTGACTCTGTGGAGACTGGAGTGCCCTGATCACCAGAATTTTTGTTTTATACAAATGTCCTGGTCGTCACTGCAGGTGAGCAAATACCTCTTCTGCAGAGTGTGAGAGGGCAGTAGGTCCCAGGCTGAAAGGTGGTAACTTCAGGTTTAATCGAAGTCATAGGGAACAGGATTTTGACTGTGTAAGTCAATGGAGCATTGGCTATGGCAACCTCAGCTTGGTTATTCTTTGCTGTCTAGGTTTTATGTCCACTCTACATATGATTGTAACTTGGTTTTTGTCTTTAATTAACCTGTGTGGTGGGACTGAGAAGTAACTGCTGTCTTTATATTGGCAGAAGATGTGGTATTTGTAAAGCTATTACAGTGAAGATAAAGCTTTATAACAGTGCAGGAAATAAAGCCCACAAAATTATTTGAGAAGCCACAGTATCCAGGATAAATGTTACAGGAAGCATTAACCTTCCATAAAAATTCCTTTGCCAGTGAGGAATTTAATACGCAGCCTTTGTGAGGGAAGATATTATACCTCAATCATGTTCTGAAATGCTTTATTTAAGAATTAGACATGAGGAAAACCTCAGTTGTCTGCGGTTTAGGATATTTGCATTTAGATATTTAAAACTTTTTTTTTTTTCTCATTGATGCCTAGTAACTCATAGATATGTCAATAAATATTGTGTGTAGTTGATATGTTCTGTATTTTATACACACATATGAATTTTTTAAACCTTCTTTCTGTGTGTACAGCAATCTCCCATGTATTTTGTTCTCTAATAGGCACCTGGAAGAGGGTATGATCATGGCTGAATTGTACAAGCCTGCTTCTAACTACATTAAAACACATTGCAGTAATTTGGAACCATGACTCTTTTTAAGCTGAAAAGAAGGAGAAAACAAACAAACAAACAAACAAACAAACAAACAAAAAAAACCACCAAAAAGCCCACCCTCTTTTTTTTTTTTTTTCTTTTTTTTTCTTCCTCCTGATAAGAGATTTTAGCTGGGCATTACTGCCTGCTGGTTTGCTGAAGAAGCAGAGATGCTGCCTCTGCCTTCCCCTCACCCCATCTTGACACCTTCCAGCAGCCTGTTCAGCTGGGGCTTGCTGCTGGCACCACGGAGGCTGGCAGCTCATCTACAGGATGGGGACTTGCTGACAGTGAGAAGAAAGCAGTGAGACTGTGGCCCCCAACCTGCCTCACCAGACAACCAGTGAATAGTACAGCTTCTTCAGCAGCTGCACTGTGGTCTGGGCTGGAACCAATATTTAAGGTGTGAAGCTTTCCTGTCTCAAGTCTAACTGCCAGAGTGGTACAGTTTTAGACTCCAGTTACTTGTGTCTGGTCAAAACAAAATTGGCATGGGTTTTATTCCTTTCTTTTGGATGGGTGGACTGTGGTATATGACTCAATGGCTTCTCTCTTCCTGTATTGGGCTTGGCTTAAAGCTGCAACAGTGTCTTGTGGAGCTCTCATAAGAGCCAAATGTGTTCTGGATTAAGGCAGTATGAAGAAAGAATTTTACTGCAAATGTTCCTTTTTTTTTTTTTTTTTTTTTTTCTTAAGTATAGAACAACTTGCTTTGTTAAACTTGCAATTTCTTGAATGTTATTTAGCTTTCCTTCATGCATAAGATTGGTCAGAGGGTATTGGCTCATGATTCCTGGCCCAGGTTTCATTCATTAATGGCTGCTGGAGAGTGTAGCAGGACAGATAGTTTCCCATAATGACACTGACTGGTGAGATACCTGTGTGGGAGATTCTGGTCTGCTTCTCCCAGAATACATTTCTACTGTGCACCAATTCTACCCTCATACTTTTCTCAAAACAAACAAACAAACGTACATTTTTATTTTTTTTTAAATGGGCAAAAAAAAAAAATCCTCTTGATTTCTGACCCACATTTCAGCAGAGGTTTTATCCTCAGCCACACTTTCTTCAGGTTTTTGTGACTTTCTATAGGAAGACAGGGAAGATGATTCTTTGGTTAGTAAATACTAAGAGCTGTCTGTCCTTGGTGTGTACTTAGAACAAACTGCAGATAAATGCTTGCAAATAATGATCTGGCCTAAGTATTGCATAAAGCTTTCCAAAAATAGTTGTCTATAAGTAAAAATAATCCTGAGGTTGTGTATTAATAGAAGATGCTTCAGGTCTTCTCCTTGCTTCTTGCAGGATAGAAGAACAAAAAATGAGAGGTCTAAAATATTTTCTGAAGAGACTACTGATGTGCGGGGATCTTGGTCTAAAAATACTTTAAGTCTTTTAAAAGGACCTACTTTTTGAAAGAATGCTGAGTACCTGTCTTCTGAAAACTGACTGCTTTTCTGATGGTTTAAGTTTGACAGAAGTTGATGTAGTCTTTTTAATGATCTTGGCCAGTTTCTGCATTACTGTTATCTCACAAGCTGTGCACCATAAAATGCCCCATCTAGCTGTTTTTTTTTCCAATTCATTTTAATGTTTTTAAAGTGAAGGGAGTTAGCAGTAGATGAGTTATTAACATGAAGGACTGAATGCATATGGAGCTTGCAAAGTATTTCCTCCCCATGAGATTTCTGTGGAAATAATAATTGCTGCTTCATGTATTTATCATTTGGTACGGACTGCTTTTCTTGCTCGAACACCTAGAGGGTCTGATTGAAATTTCACTCTATTGTGCTAGGTGCTGTGCAGATGGAGACTACTGGACATCCTTTGTACCTTACAGTTTGTATTCAACAGCAACAGGACAGAAGAAGGACAGGAAATCAGGAGAGGTTTGCCTTACTCTGTTGTTTTGTGGTTTTGTTTTTTGTTTGTTTGTTTTGTTTTGTTTTTCTTTCTTCTTTTTTTTCTTTTTTTCTATTCTTTATTATTTTGTTATCTTCCAGAAGTACCTTAAGTGCTGTGATTAGTACTCTTTGTGTGCAGTTACCTAGCTTTCTTTTCAAAGAGAAGAATTCACAATGTTGCTGGTGTAGGGTTTTAAACACGATCCCATATTGATCCCTGCACTGTGTGCACGTGGCAGTGTTGGCAAGGTCAGAGGGCAGTTTTGGGCACAGGGAGGCTGAGGGCTGAGGCAGGATTTTGCCAATCTACATGTTTGCTCTGAAGGTGGTTTTGATGTGTGGGCAGGGAGTATCCCTGCATGTGTGGATGGCTCACCTGAGAAATAAAGTGTTGGAGAGCCAGGCACCTGGTTCCCTAGGTATCCTAGGTACCTGGGGCTGTGGAGACCAAGGGTATAGTCTACAGACTCTGCTCATAATCTTGACTCCACTCTGTGAAAAGTTTTACCAGTGAAAATAGGGGAGTGTAGGAATACTGCGTCGGTGGGAGGCTACGTGGCAGAGGAGCACAGCTCCACTAAATGCCATGCACCTCCTCACAACAAGATTTTGTGCCAGGTATGCTGGGTTGCCAGGATCCAGCAGTTGCCATGGATAGATAGGGTGTCATTTTCAAGCCAGACTGTTTTCTCTCAGCTTGGTGGCCCTCCTGGACTCACAGCTGTTACTCACAAAATGACTGTGCTGTCTTTATGTCATACCAGCCACGTGCAGTGTGTTAGAAAGTTTCCCTCCTTTTTTCTAGGTTGTAGGTGCATTTTTTCTACTGCTGTCTTAAAATAGGCAGTCAATCCCTTCTGTGCTCAGATATAGGGCCAGGACCCCCAGCTGCCTGTGGACCACGGCTGGCATCTGGAGGCACCCATGCTGTTTAAGCATGTTCTCTTCCAGTGCTCTGCCTTTGCATGTGTTTTTCATTTAGTGTTTACCTTTCCAGGCATGTAACAAGTAGGCATTGCAAAGCCTTTTAGACACACTCTCTACTTCAGATAGTCCAAGAGGTCATGTACAGATTGAGACTGAACAGTGAAACATCTGCATATGCTTAACCTTGCTTCACTTTGGCATTGCTCTGAGTGTTCTTTGGGCTTTGATCAGACCTTTTTAATCAGCCCAGGATCTTTCCTCTTCCTCAATATTCTTGCTCAGGCATGATTCTACCGGGGTGAAGTCTCCTCACATTCCTGAAGTCAGCTTTTCTTCTGTCTTTTCACTCTTAAACTCAAATGGCCAGTGAGAACCACCTTGTTTTTATAGCTATAGGTCCTCTTTGTCAAGGAGACTCTCGGTTAGTTAACAATACAGTCTGTGTAGCCTCAGGAGGTGATCTATTTGTTAGACTTGAAAAACTGGTTCACAATAGCCATCTCTTTGTACAAGAGACTCTGAATAGCATGGGTAATTACCTCTTTAAGAGAGAGCAAATAACTTCCATCTTCATAACAGAGTTTTTGCAGTATGCAAAATCCCTGCATGGTACTTAGATTCCCAGATCATGGCACCTCAGGCTTTTGAGTTTCCAGACGTTGCCCTGCTGACTGTTTCTCAGCATCTTTATCCCATGAACTATGGACTTCTCTGTCTTCTGGGTGTTGAAGCACAGCACAAGCTTCAGGCTCCTGAGAAGTTTCTAAATTGAGCATTAGATATTTTTATCAAAGACTAGAGTCAAACTTAAATCTGCCTGTAGTTGACTGGAGCCTCTCAGGAATGAAATTTACCAAGATACCTTTATATGCATATATCCCTTACTATAGTGTCATAACTAGAAGCTGCTATACTTCATTTTATTTGGTAGCACTTTCTAGTGAATTATTTTCTTCCTCAGTAATTTCTCCGTTTAAGAACCCTCCTGAGAAATCTTTACTGTATTAACTTCAGCTTTGCTACATCTTTATCTTTAAATAGCTCCTTTAAATTTACTTAGGCAAATCTGGGGTTTTGTCTGTCTTCAATGGTATTAAAATAGTATCTGAAGGGGGTGTCACCTGTGTAAGAAGACACACCACTAGACGATACTGTAAATGAGAGACAGATGGATTGCTGCTCAGAGACAACAAGATTATGGGTAGAAACCTGTTTACCTTTTGCAATACAGCCGCCAAGCTGAACAAGTCATCGGAACAGAACTGAGCTGAATAATGCATGCTTCTACCAGTCTCTAATTCTCTCGGCTGCAAAAGAGTTTTTTCACACCCAAACTCTTCAGCATTCTAGCAGTTACCTAGCCAGATTCGAATGCTGGAAAACACCTTTGGTTTGAGTTTTGCTTTGACATTTTGTAAGTGCAGATATGTTGGTGGCTAGCTAACAGAAGGGCTCCAGTCATTTTGCAGAGGCTTCCCTTTTCATAAAGCACCTGGACATACCTGGAGTGGATGGTCTTTCTCTGGGATGTCAGAATGGTTCCTTCCAGTACTATTTGCAAGTCATAGGTAGGAACCTGGAGGACTTGCTAACCACATAAAGGAAATAAACTTGCATGAAATTCAGTATCAAAACCTGACACAGCTACTCGGTTGCATTGAGGTACCACAGCAAAAACCAGCAAAAGCAACACCTGGTAGGGTTGCTAAAGTGGAAGCTAAACAGCTATTATAATTTGTTTTTCTTTTTCCAGAGCTGATTTTTGGGCTCAAGAACATTTTGTTCTGAAGGCTCATGCACAATTTTTTCGTTTTCTTCAGGTGATGAAAATAGAGGATCACTGTCATATAGGCTGTTTTGGGGGCTGGATTTTCTCAGTCATGTACTCAGTGACAGTCTTTGTGGATGAGGCTCGATCTGCATTTTTCTCATTTTAACATAAAAGACAAGGGAGCAAGCTATGTTTCAACTGGAGAATTTTCTGTGCTTATCCTTTGGATGTTGAGAGGACCTCTGATCTCAGTGGTGCTAATCTTGGCATAGATAATAGCTTGTGGTAAGGTTATAAAGAAAAATCTTCCAGTAGCTTAGCAGACTAACAGATTCTCATGTGACTGTTAAGCTACAGTCCAGGACAGTCTGTATCCTCACTGTATGCATCTGTCTTTCTTGGCAGGAGCTACCATTGCAGTGGTCCCCAGCAGATGGGTCCTCACATGGAGAACCTCATGGAGAAGCAGCACTGTGGGTTGCAAACCTCTCCCAAGTTACGGTCTTCTCTTATATGAACTGAGGGAAAGACAAAAGTGAAGTCTGTGACTTGACAGCAAAACAGAATGGTGCTTTACACCTCTTGAAAGAAGGGAGATCACTGCTTGGCCTCAATTACAGATGGCTTATGTATGTTGATCCTGGACCACAGGAGAGAGAAAAGCCACAAGGTTTGGCCTTTCCATTTTTATGACCAATTTCAATATGCTCAGTGTTAATCAGATAAAACAAATTAGTTACATCGGGTTTCATGCTGTTTTCTGGAGAAATAGCATTTATCAGGTCAACAAACAAGACACTGAATGCTCCTATCATAGTAGAGAAAGTTCTGCTTAGTATCACACTTCAGTTTTGGAGCTGAAACAAAACCAAACAAAATCTCCAAATGTTGTGATGGGTTAAGATGAAATGCTAACATACTACTGGTATCTCAGAAAAACTAATAAGGCAAAGCCTGTGTCCTTTGCTGAAGGTACAGGCTCTAACCCCATCATTCGGTAGCTGGGAGCATTTATAGATAACAATGGGATCTAAAAACTCATGTAAGACTTGCTGATGTAGTGATGAAGAGGACTGGTTCTAGTGTTCTTCAAGGCAAGGAGGGAAGCAGAAAATGGGAGTAACAGGTTGGTCAAGTAGTTCTCCTTTTAATGAGTCATTCTGCAAAGTGTTAACCAAGGAACCCTTCTTACATCTGGTGCAATGAAGTATGTCTTGAGTGGTTAGACAAGCAGAAACTTGTCTAGGCACGATGTGTGTCCTTCCTTCTTCTCTGAGGGCAATGTGGTGTTGCAATAGGTCATCCTAGTTTTCCTCCCTGCCCTCGTGGCTGAAGACCAATTGTTGGGCTAATTCCCTCTGGAAGCAGCGATATGACATGGAACAGCAGCATACACCTCCTAGCACCACGTTTTGTCTCTTCCAGGATGCAATGTTCTCACCCTTTGAGAGAGAGAACATCACAGTCCTCATTGATTCTGTACATGGGGGAGAGGTGTTGGTTTCTTACTGCAGTCACAGGAGTAACACCAGACCCGTGGCATGGAAGCTCTCCATCTGGAGAGAAAGGCCGGGTGTAGCCTCACTTGCCCCTGCCTGGTGGGGCAGAGGGCATTGGAGGTCCAAACCAGAGCTGCAACTCCAACATCAGGGCAGGCTGCATCTGCACACCCACTGCATACCCACTGCCAGTTGTGGGATCGTCCAGGGACAGGTTTTGTTGGAGAGCACATCTCCATCTGACATCAGTGGGGTCTCTCTCTCAAAGCGAACATTAGGCTGCTATCAAAGTGCCGTTTGTGAGCAAGATTCATGAACTAATTAGTCACTATGCCCATTAATCAGAAAGACTAGAAATAATTCAGCAGAATTCATGCTGTCAGCAAGGATGAGAAGAGCCCTCTCTATGACAGCTTACCTTGCATTTTGATCATTAGGCGATTCGGAGTTTAGCCCATCCGTCTTGTTTATCTGCCCTCAGGGGAAAATAATCCCTGCATCCTAGCCATCTCGACAAGTTTGAAATTCAAACATATTTTCAGTTCTGTCAGTAAAATATCAAATGGGCACATTCGGGTGAGTATTGACACACAATGGTGCTGGTGCCTTTTTTTTTTTTCTTCAAATGTATTGTAAACAAATCCTTCCTTTCTCTGCTGCTGCACTGCATGTAGTAGCTCAGCACCATCTTAGGAAAAGTGGAAGGTGGAGGGAATGCACGGGTCATTAAAAAATAGTTGATTTCTAATTATTCCTGGCAGCCTTCCTAAGACCAGCCAAAGGCACTCCCCAGTGTAACTCCACCTTCTTGTGTCTTGGGTGAGATTTATTTACATGTGCTTGAATAAGAGATATATCTTAAAATAATCAAGCCAGTGTTTATTTTGGCTTTCCTGGCATCTTTTTTCCCCATGTCAGAAATCCATCCAGAGCTTGTGCAGTAAAATATTTCTTTAACAGATGCATACCACACTGTTGGTATGAAGTAGGTTGGTCACTCTAGAAAGCATACACTAACAAGGCAGTAACAGATGGTCTTAGATCTTGGTACAGAGTTGTTGTGGCTGCTGTTTTTTCGTTAAGCATTAATTGCTGGAGGTGGAAATCATGCAGCTCAGTGTGCCAAAGCCCAGAGATGGGTCTTACTGTGTGACTGGGATGCAGAGAGAAGAAAGTCTGGTTGGAAACCTGGGATGTGGTGTATTCGTGCCCTTTACAGCAAAGACTGCCTGTCATCACCATCTTAGCAGTCTCTCTCAGATGCAAAGGGATTTCAACACGTAGCAGGGAAGGCTCACCAGACTTCTAGGAACTGGAAGAAATTTGGGAGGTAAAATGAGTTGTCCCTCTAAAGAAAGTCTGTCTGAGAGGAGCTGATGGCCTGCTTGAGGTAATATGAATGTGCTGTTGTAACTGATGAGCCCTGATGTAATGGGAATGTGGACCATGCCAGGAGTATGTTCAGTTGTGCTGTGCTGTGTACAGCTATTTTGTGTTTGTAATTCTACCATGTGAAGCACTGGTCCCAAAGATACTGGTAGCATGTTCTTATTATCTTGTGGAATGTTTATGGAAAAATGTTCCTTATTTTGCCCATAGAAAGAGTTTTTCTTCCATGTTATTTCCAAGAAGAAAAAAATAAAAATAAAAAAAACACTTGACATACCAAAGAAAGCTACCATACCTAAATCTTAGTGGAACTGCTGTCACTCTTTAAAAAAAGGAATCTATACCACTAACCCTGTGCCCCAGCTACCATTTATTGGTGGGATTATCATTTTTTCTTAATGTCATTTTTGTTTCTGCACTTTTTTTTTTTTTTAAATGCTGTTCTTATTGTCTTATATGCTTCCCTCATCTATTCTTCTTTTGTTGGAAGATGCTCCTCCTGAGGTTAAGCCTACCTATGTAATTTAACCTGGTGCTTCTTTATGGAGAATGCAGATTAAGGGAGGCATTTGTCTGTTGCATATACATGTCTAGTACAGATCTTCATGTCTGTGTTGCTGCCCAATTTTTACAATAGCTCAGTTGAGCTTTTGGGCTTTCTACCCTAAAAAAAAAACAAACAACACAACAAAACAAAACAACAAAAAAAACCCTTCAGGCTGAGGCAGGATCCTCTTTACCTGTAACTCTGTGATTTTTCAGATACAATCATCTGATTCCAGGCAGTACATATAAACATAGTCAGCGTGATATATCTAATGAGGTCCAGATCACTTGTTAAAGTGATCCATAGCAGAGCTTAGAAATCCAGACTTGGTATCCTGGCTCTGTTCCTGTTTCTGCTGTTACATACGGCCTTCATCAGCTGCCTGTGCAGTATCACTTCTGGAGAACTTATCGTAACATCATTACATTTTTCATCTGTCTTGAAGTCTTGATAGGTTCATCCAGTTTCATTTTGGGATGGCGGAAGAAGAACAAATCAAAAACTTCTGACAAATATCAAAATGTCCTCATGTTGTCAGAATGAAATGTATCGGTGCTTCAAAAGGCAGGATAAAAATTTTATGTTTTGACTTTTTAATTTCATATTATGTATTATAATGTAACATAAAAAACTAGGTCAAAATTAATTTCAGACTAGCACAAGCTAGTGGAGTTTTACCTGTAGGCTGTAATTTTTTTCAAAGTGAAAGATTTCATATATGTGTAAGAATATGCTGCTCTCTCTTTTTGTGATTCCTCTTATCAGTCTCATTATGCCTTTGTGTGATCCTTCTTTGTGTTATACCTTACATATTGTTAGCATTTATTTCTTGTAATGCACAGGTTCTGAAAATTAGAAGTTTCCAAAGCATTTTTCATTTTCAGGATTACTTCTTCTCCCCCTTTTTAAAATCTCTCCAGGAATTACAGGTCAGGTAAAACTTGGAAAATTCTCTTGTTCTGAAGCTTTAAATAGTGCTGTTTGATTAGTTTGGGGCTGTCAAGAGCACAAACTGTCCAAACCAACGTGGTGGCTGAGCCTTCCTGATGATATTGTAAATATGCATCAGTTCCCAGAGGTGCATAGCTCAGACTTCTTCACTGATGAATAGGAAAACCCTGCTGCTGCTTCTGTTACAGTAAATTAGCAGGAGAAAGAAAGATGGTGAGGTAAAAGGAGACAGAGAAAATGACTTGTGAGACTGATGATGATATGGAAGAAGGAGAAAATGGTAAGAATTGGTCTGAATAAAACAAACTTTTTTTTTTTTTATGTTACTTAGAGCTGTGGTTTTTCTTTATGTCTGTTGGTGTTGTTTTGTTTTTTTTTTTGTTTGTTTTTTGTTTATTTGGCCGCAAATTTTTTTACACGGTGGATGGATGTTTTTTTTTTAATTTACTATTTGTTTGAAGTAACTTACAATATTGCTCTTATTCCATTAGCAGTCAGTCCTTCCAGCTAGGTGCAATAGTCAGTTGTTAGTGCACATTTTGACCATCAATTACCCATTAGTGCTTTCTCACACAGTGCACAGAAGGCATACACCAATGGCTAATGCACATTCTGTTGGTTGCACTTTGGTGTCTTTCATCTTTTCCCGTGGAAGCAGTCATCATCTACCTGCCTGAGGTGTAAGTGTGCACCGAAGTCAGTGGAAGAAGGCTGATGCACGCTGCTGGTTTCCTCTTCTCCCACAGATGTTCTGGATGCCTGGGTGTCAGACTTAGAGCTGCTGTCTACCTCGGTCTGAATCTGCTTGAAAGGTCCAAATTTCCTTTGTCTACTTACCCTACGAACTAATCTTTTTCAAGGATTGCCCTTAAGAACAGTGACCTCATGGAACCTGAAAATATTATTATAGCATGATGAAGATGAGACAGAAAGTTCTGGTGGAGTAACATATGTTTCCCCTTAGAAAAATGGCTGTCCATTTCCCAAAGAAAAGAAAGGCAGTAATATATTAAATTTTTAATGGAAGTTGTTTTTGTTGTTGTTGTTGTTTCTATTTATCTATTATTATTCAGTTTAAAATGTAAAGATTTTTATCATACCATGGAAATCTTTTAAAGATGACCACAATATTCAAGTGGCACATGCTAGTTGGTCCAACAACTATTTTGACTTTTCAGGCAAAAAGAATGATGACCTTCATCTCATCCATGGAAATTTTTAGAGCAATCCCCTTGCTTTTCTTGCTGCAAAACATACCAAACATTATTTAAAGCTGTTAAGGAGATGAACAGTGTATCGGGACCATATTGCTCTCCTATCATCTGGCATAATGGCTTTCTTTTTGCCATTTAAGATTAAAACACATATGGAACTTGCTTTAATTTGACACTTTTATTTTCTGAATTGCTGAGTTCCAGCTTCAGCTGGGATGTCACATTAATTCTGTTTAAAACTTGGGGAGCAAGCAGGTTGATTTGAGTTAACTGTGTACTGTATAATGATTCTGAGCTTAAGCAGTGTTATCTCCAGCAAATGTCTTTGCTACAATAGTCATCTGTGTGGAGCCCTGGAGCAATTCTTGGCTTTTTTACTCATATCACTTCACTATCAAAGCTGAAATGATTAATATTCACAGGAAAAAAATATATATTTTCCCACAGCAAATCTTCCTTTCTATTTCTATTTGGTAGAACCAAGCCTTCTGCATACATTATATGGATCAGCTAGAACCAGTCTGGGGAGTGAGGACGTGTATCTGTAAAGTGCTACAAACACAGCACTGTGGTAATCCAAAAGGAATTGTAAACATGCCCACATTCCAAGCACACTTACCTTTTATTTTCTGAGGACAAAGTCCTGAGCAGCTTTTTGTCCTGATTCTCCTGTTAGCTATGGTAATATAAAATCAAGAGTGGTACACGTGAACAGACTGGGTTTCTGTCATGTGAAAGTGGGGCAAGTGAAAATTGAACAGCCTCCCTTTGTCACTGTGGGAGCAATGTTGCTCTGCATGGTACCTTTTGACACACAGCAGCTGCCATGCTGCAGCCACGCTGAGCAGCATCCATGGGTTCGGCCATGCGTGTGGTGGGGCCCAGTTTCATGCAGAACCAGCCGAGTCCACATGTAAGGACCCTGTTTTTCAAGGTCAGATGCTGATTGAATTGCTCCCAGCTGCTACCTAGTCCTGAAAGTGCTCAGCACTTCTAAAATAAGACCGGACTAAAATGAGTTCCCAGTTTTGCATCTAGAGGTCTGAGATAACCGCTATTTAAAAACAGAGACACAAAGAAGACAAAACTTGGCTCAGGTGCACAAGCTGATTTCCAAAGGCTTGTTTCAAGACAGGCTTATGCTGGTTTCAAAGCCTGCTGTAATTGCTAAATATCTTTGTGCTGATCAGGTGGACTTTAGATGACATCCCAGAAGTCAGTGCTTCGTGGGAGGAGAGCATCTGGCTGAGGATTCATTTGAATCTTCTATTGTGGAAAAGTGAAGTGGTCATCAGAGCACACTTCACCCTACAAAGGCAAATAACCTCTTTGCTTCTGAGAGCCCATTGTTTTCCACCCATTTCAGCCTAGAGGTTGTATGTGAATATATGTCATATTTTATATATACACTGCCACT